CCTGCTGATATTGTCTAGGTCTATGAACTAAAACATAAATGGTCTATGAACTGGCTCCTCATAAATGAGAACAGGTATTAATACACCTTACTCATAGTTATTCCAACACTCCTCTACAAACTTACACTGCCACTACCTCACCACTATGCTTCAAACATCCTATTAATATCTTGTTTTGCCGTGAAGCCGCAGCAACCAAAACCACAGCTCTGAGTGCACCTTCTATATTACAGATTTGGTTTAATTAGGTGACAGCTGCACAGAAACAGGGAGCACAAAGGGCGGTTTTGCAGCTGGTGAGAAGGCAATAGCCGCGTGACCGCAGGGGAGTGAGTCTTTACTTATCTGCCTCCTTTGTAAGTCTTAGGAACTTATCAGCTGAAGAAGGAAGGCAGTGTACATCAAATAAAAGAGTGCTAACTAAGGAAAAGCATAATTCCACATTGAAAATGCCCTGAAAAAAAGCCTTAACAAATCTCCTGTACTTCTCATTTGCTTGATGAAGAATGAGTTTCTGGAATCTTCCTCCTGCTCTTGCTAACCAAATGGTATCTCCCAGTTCCACAAAAGATTCTTTTGCCTTCTTTTTCTAGGAAATGCTTTCCTTTTAAACCAAAATGAAACTATTCCACATTTCCAAGTGGAAAATATCTGGAGTTTTCCTTTAAAGAGTTCAGTAGTTATGGTCTGATTCTCTAAAAGAGTACAGGCACTTTTTCATGCGCCCAGCATTTGCACATCAATATCACATCGGGGAAGATGTATACGTCCATGCTTTGACTCATATGCCCACAGCAGACAATCTAGCAGCCAAAATGCACCCTATACCAAAAACTGGCATACACTTCTAAGTTCCAGCCACATGTGGGATATTTGTACTGTTGTTATAAATTATTTCATTCTATTGAGAAGGAATAATATTATGCAAAAGCATCTTTGTAACATTCAAAACTATTTGGCTTCCAAGAATAGACTGTGATGAGAAAACTGCCTGAGCTAAAAAGAATCTTTCCCAGACTTTCCATTATTCAATGTATAAAATAGCTAATGTGATCTTTAGTATTAAGTCTTGATATCAGAGGAATAGATTTTCAGATTTTTTTTCCAGTGCCATTTATTTGAAATCCTCCACCTACACTATAAAATTGACCAACTGGGCAGCAGCAGGGGTCCCCCTGAATTAGTATCAACATTTTTTAACTACCAGTCCATGTTTTTTTGTTCCATCAACACTAGCCGTTGAATTGTTTTCAGAGCCAGTTCAGAGGGAACCACTCCTGACAACTGTTTTCAGCAATAAATCAATTTCCTCATATAGACAGGATTAAAGTGAGGACATAAAAAATACATCAGCAGGCAGTGAAGAGGGGTGTGCACATGTATGTTTGTTCTTACTGCAGCCTGCTATTTTCAGTGGACATTAAATCAATGGAATATCTGAACCCATTATTTTCCTGGCAGGTTGTCAATAGCTATTTTAGATTCCATATTGTGTGTCAAACTTTATTTTTCTAAACAATTCCAGTTCTAAACCTCTGGCCATTACTTATGCACAAAGGGATATCCACTGCCTTGCCCGCTCATGATCTCAATTTGAGTCTCCACCCATAAAACCCGTGCTCTGAGAATCATGTGTTTAGATGAAATTCTCAGCATCAGTTTAAGAACAGTTTAAGAACCTCCTGAGTGTGGAGGAACAGTTTAAGAACCTCCTGGGTGTAGAGGAAATCTTGAAGAGATGAACCAGAAAGGTTTCAATGACCAGAAGGTTAAGAATTATAATCTGTTACTTATTAATTTTAAAAATCTGTTCTGTTTAAGACAATCTGCCTAATGATTTGGGGGCCTGACTTTCAATTGCCAGATTGGTAAAACTGTATTTTTCATCTTCCAGATCATTAATAGGGTGTAGCAACACCCAACTCACGTGTTGCTGTACACCATTCATATTTCAGGGTTGCCATCTCACCAAGCTCGGCCTTGAAAATATAGGCTTTTCTAAAGATATTCAAGAGCATTAGAGGCACGTTGATTACTGCGGAATCCAACTGAAACAGTTTTATTGTTTAAAATATCACAGGAGAACCAGAGAGCCCAAAACTGACTTTCATTGTTCAGACAGAGAGGAACTACACAGCGTCAGCAGTGCTTAAAGGCACTAGGTAAGGGCAACAACGGCAAGCAGCACTAGTAGTTGAAAGCTGGTGAATTGAGTTTTAAGAAGTGATGCTGCTGCTGCCAGCACCACACAATATGTCCAGCTACTACTTATACAATGCCCAAAATATTTCTAGACTCTCCAAGACTTACCCCTGATAAGCATCCCCACTCCCATGGACAAGGGATCTCAGCACTTCGCAAAACTGAGATAACAGTGGAACTGATTCAGATCTCACGTATGCAGGGTTTAACTTAAAGTGACTGAGAGATAAGAATCAGGTGCACAGGATTAATTAGCCTGCCAATGTCCCTTTAGTGTTCAGAGGGTTCACCAGTTTGGTGGGAGGCATGCTTCTCTGGCTGTGCACTCAGGGAGTTTTCTATGCACTCAGGGAGATTTATTCTCTCTTCACTTACACTGGGTTGAACCAAGATCAAATCTGTTCTTGTCAGTGGAATTACACCAATGTACAGCTGGTCTAAATGAGTGGGCTCTGGGTCCAAGAGGCACATGGGCCAGCACTGAAGGGCCTTGGTAAGTCACAGAATCATAGAATCATAGAAACATAGAAGTTGGGTCGGAAGGGACCTTGCAGATCTTCAAGTCCGCCCCCCTGCCTGGGCAAGAGGAAAACTGGGCTCAAATGACCCCAGCCAGGTAGGCATCAAGCCACTTCTTAAAGACCCCAGGGTAGGAGCCAGCACCACTTCCCTTGGAAGTTGGTTCCAGATCTTAGCCGCCCTAACTGTGAAGTAGTTCCTACAGATGTCTAATCTAAACCTACTCTCCCACAACTTGTGGCCATTATTCCTTGTTATCCCGGGGGGCACTAGGGGAAACAAGGTCTCCCCCAAACTCTTCTGGTCTCCCTTAGTGAGTTTATAGATGGTCACAAGATCCCCATCTCAGCCTTCTCTTGTGAAGGCTGAACAGGTTCAGGTCCTGTAGCCTCTCAGTCATGTCAGTTCATTGCATTTCAGGCTGACACATGTGTCACTGCAGTTTTGTTACCTATTTGTGTGTCCTGTTATTTCACTGAAATCCTATCACCACAGGCAGCTTCCATTAGCTACTCAGAAGGGATAAGTTCTGCCTGCATAATGAGGAATTGACTGAAGTCTCAAAAGGGAAAGAATTACAGGCAATCCACAGTAAATTCAGCTGCAGCTACAGAGATACAACAGAATGGAGGATTTCTGCAGCTTAATCAAGGATTCACATCTATTGACCACAAAGCCCCACTCCAAAGCGGCTCCTCCCAGACCCAATTTATGGTAGGGCTAATAGTTTCATCACTGTTTAGATGTACCAGTCACTGCTCCCCAAAGTTGGACATATGAACAAGGTTTATTTCTCCTCCCATCCCTCCCTAAGTGAGCTCCCCCTCTGCCAAGCCTGGCTAAACTGCTTCAGGCTTTGTATGGTCTGCGGTCAGAAGTGAGTTCACACGTTATCACAGCCCTGTAATTTGACTGTTGAAAGCAAAGACACCATGGCAAATCCTCAGTCCTAAATGGGGCCTTTAAGTCTGACTTAGGACTGCCAGCTGTGACAGTGTCCTTTAAAATACAAGCACTGCTTTAAGTCCCATTAGCGTAGGCACCGTATCAGCGAGTAAAGACAGTTGCTGACTGATCAGTGGCCTAACTGAAATGAATTTGGGATCTAAGCCTAGGTCCTAATGGATTATTACCCACATAGCAAAGGAAAAAAACCCACCATCAGGCTTGATACAGGTAATTCAGTGCCCAGACTTAGTATCGAAGCACTGAGAGGACAAGGATCCTCAATCTACCAAGAAGGTGACTCCACCACTCTGGGCTGGGTAGGGAAGAAGGGAGCTTGCCCTGCCACTGCCTGTTCTGATGACTTCAGTCTCCAGCCCTTGTGAAAGATCAAACCATGTGATTCCTTTTTAATTGATGGACCTCCTGAAAAGATAAGCAGCAGTAGCCTTGCTAAGGAGGGGTGGCTAGGGCAGCAGCCCCAGACACCAACTTGGGGAGGGTGAAGAAATTATGGTTATACCTGCTGCTGGCTGGCCATATCAGCTGCAGCTGCCCCATGTACTTCTGCTGCCCTGGGCACTGATCTGCCCTGTTATGCCTCTGATGCAGAAGGAACTGAAAGGCAAATGCCCAACTGGACAGTGGGACCAGACACCTGCTGTGCTGGATGCACTGGCCCTTTGCTGCCTTGCCTCTGGGCTTCCCACCCGCACTCTGGCATGGGCTGCAGCAGTTCAGCAGTTACCCAGCCTAAGTGCTGACTACTTCTGCTGTGGCAACTACCTCCAGTGCCCACTGAAAAAAAAACCCCACGCAGCATGATGTCAGTGCCGGCTGCCAATGACCAAGCAAAGCTGCACAAAGAGGCCACTCTTCCTTGCCCCTCCTCCTCTGCTAAACAGGCTGATAAAAAACAAGACACCAGGGCCTGTTGTTGAGATGACGAGGCCTCAAGAATGTGCAGGTGCCACACTTGGGACAATGAGCTCCACAGTCCCGTTCTGCTCATAACAATCTCCCCTCAGTGACACAGAAAGAGAAGAAATGTCGAGAGTAGCTCAGAGAGTCCCAGCTAACAGGCTGCACAGCAGAGAACTTCCCCCTTCCCCCTGCTTTATCTCCTGCCCTGATACTGGCACCCATCCCTTGGGTCCAAGGGTTCACATGGCTTGTACATTCTCAGTCTTCCTTCCCCCACCCCCTGATGCCTCCATGGGTATCAGGATAGGAAGATGCCAAAGAAAATCTGTGGGCTATTCCTTGACCCTAAGAAACTTTGGGCAAATGGGAATCCAGTCCATTCCCGCCCCCCCTCCCCCTTTGAAAACAGGGCTAGTTAGCAAAACCAATTACCTGAGGAGCAGCTCTGCATGCGTGCTGCTACTGAGCACTGTACGGTAGACACATGCTAGTGGTTTTTCTTGAGGCAAGCTGCCAGAGGACTCCATAAGACAATGCACAGTAGGGCTTAGAGGTCCTTCCCCCATCCCTCACTGCTCCCTTTATTTGTTCCCTCCTCATGTTTATGCATGTGTTTTCTCCAGCAGACTATGGCCAACCCCAGACAGCCATGTTTTTTCTGCAATCAGGTCATTTCCCACCTATTCAGTTTGTCCTTAAACCCAGTGAGAGCATCCCATTCCAGCAAGGTAGTCTGCATGGAGTTGGATGCATGCCTTACCCAAGAGAATGATCAGGATTCCTCCCAGCTGGGAACGACGGTACTTGGCAGCTCCTGGCTCGTGGCCCATCCGTATGCAGGGCAGAACAGTAACCAGCAAGAAGATTGCTGGGATGCCCAGAACTGAGGCAGCAATCATCAGTGCTCGACACGCCTGAACATAGCCTGTTGAGAAAGAGAGAAGCTCAGTCTTTAGTATTCAGCATAAGAGGTAAACTTCAGCCAAATACTCTGGTATAATCAGCTACTCACCACTGGCTCCTAACTAGAGCTGGGCACTCCTCTAGCACACGAGAGCCCTGTGTTAAGTCCCTGCTCTGCCTGATATGCACATCTCAGATGAGTGCCCTAACCACCAGGTTAACACATCACATACTCCAGTTGAAGCTGCTCTGCTTCATGTATATAATTAAATATTCATTGGAGAAGCTAAACAGACTGACTGCCTTCCCCAGCGGTTTGGGCACTCATCTGAGGCATGGCACACCCAGGTACAAGTCCCATATCCCAGGCAAGTGCCCTGATCCCCATGCTATTGGCGATTCTGAGGTGAATGTGTCTTCTGCTCTAAGTTTTATGCCGTTAGAATGAATGTTTCCCAGCAACCAGCACCCTTCACCAGTGAATCACCTTCCCATTGGTTTCAACCCCACTGGAGCTCCTCTCTGGGGGGACTGGGCTTCCATGGGTGAGGGCAGGCAGGCCTGGGAATGACTCCCATTAAACCCAGAGCCTTTCAGTGGGTAGTTCTATACTGGTCTGCCTTATTTAAAATTCCATTCCCGTAAAAACTCACATGCACCCATCTCCCAGATGTACACCCCCTGTGGGGAAGTTCCAGAGGCTTTGGCATGGAGTTGCCCTGCCCAGAAGTTAAAGGAAAAAATCAAGAGGAAGCTACCAGCGTTGTGAACGGGAATTCCACAGGACCCCTGGGCTTTACTGGGCTGAACCTGTTGCCCTTTGGCAAGGGTATAAACCACATCCTCCACTGAGTTTCCTGTCCCCTGTGAAACAGGACATAATATGGTCCCTTTGCCTGAGAAATGCCAGGCATCCATATTACCACCAAATAATCCATTGAATCTATCAAATATCAGCGCTAACAACTGTATTTGTGAAAAGAGAAACAGTGTGTCTGAGGTTTGTCCCTGCTAGTGGGGAACCTCCCACCTACTCTCCTTGCTGTCTAAATGGGAAGGGGGCATTCTAGGGGAAATGCACCTAGTCCTAGCTCTCATTCCCATTCTGCTAATGGAAGGAAATGAGACCACTGCCAGATGAGACGGATATCTGTCCATTCACGAGTTCAGAAAGTTTGTTGATACTGCAGATATACCCACAAATCATGGCTTGCATCAAACCACTAATTATCATGCAGGGGAGAGAAGCAGGGTTTGGCTTCCTGGAAGTGTAGATTCTTTGTACAACTGGAATGTTTCCTTGCTTTTTCAAGAGGCACCTTTAAAGAAAACAATTGCTTTAAAAAGTGCGTAGCAAAAGCAGAAAAGTCCTTTTTGCAAATGAGACTGAAAAACCCTACATGAGTTTTGTATACTTGATCCCAATTGCACAAATATACAAGGACCTTCACTTTAAATCCTTTCAACTCATTCAGTGAAAGGTGCCACATGGATTTCAGCTGCTAGATGAATTAAGAAGATATCCTCTCTGTTGTGCATATGCCGGTATTAAAGGAGTTACACTAAGAAGCATCTCGCTCTGTGTTCTGTTTCTGTTGAGGAAGACCATTGTTTTCTGTTGCTAAACAATCTAATTATCAATTCTTTAAAAGTTTTATAGTACAGTTTCTTGTGGAAAGGTTTTTTTTGTCTTCTCTACTACAGCAAGGATATTGTTGGCACTAAACTCAAAATAAACAAGGAAGGCATTGGAAAAGAAGTAGGATATGAGCAACGTCTAATTACATACACTAATGATGAAGAGTCAAAGAAAACCTGTGCTCCATAACGATGATTAGTCGCACTATACCAAACAAAAGTAAGGCATTTCTGCTTTCACTGAATGGGTCTTCTGACCAGCTTCTAAAAAGTAAGGTGTTAATGAAAAAAATCCTTCATGAGCTAAAAATAGCAGGCAGATATTCTTCCCCCCGCCAGCAGAACTGTAGGGAGGAGGGATCTGAGAAGAGCTTCAGTCCAAGATGCTGCGCAACACGAACGGTTACAGAACTGATAGTGATGCAAATGGGAAAAGCTATCAGCTAGGCAAGCCCTTAACAGACATGCAGATCGTACAAAGAATCTGCATGGCTGCTCCAGAGGTTGGTTAGTTAGCCCAAGACGATAGAGTCAAATCATGACACATCGTGTTTAACTTGAACTTTGGTGTGAAAGGACTTTATCAAATGATGTTGTAAGTAGTGTATACCAAGAGTAATTAAACATAGCAAACTGGCATAGCTATATGACTTCAAGTATGATTAACTATATGTTTAAAAGTTCTATACGGTACAGGTTTAAGAACAGAAAGCATCAGAAGATTAATGGTCTTCTGAAGCAATAAAAATCCATCGCATCTTTAAAGATATAATATTAAAGCTTAAACTCATTAGCATATTCCAGTCGATACAATAGAGCTTTAATGTCTGTTTTGGTAGAGCTTTATTATTATTTGAAGTAAAAACTAAATGGGATAACTATAATTTTTAACTCTACACTATACCTTACTATATTGCATTACACTTACTGAAGTAGCAAGAGCCAGGAGAAGGAAAGCAATAATGTGTCAGGTAGCAGACAAGAAGAAAAGCTGAATCTTCAGCAGTGTAATGAAGCAGAATCAGGCTTGAGATACAATGAAGGGTTAGATAGAGTGTGAGATAGAGCAGATCTTTAAAATTAGCTACAGATTAGAATCAAGTTAGAAGATATCACTCAAAATCCCCTCCTGTGTTGAGCTGCACAGATCTTGCACTGATGAAGTCCATGGGAGTTTTGCTGTGGTTGCACACCGAAGCAGCACCAGCCCTTTTAAGGGGCAACACTGCCTGGATGGGTGAAGGTGGAGAGCCCATACCTGGTAATATGAGGATGTCCACTAGTGGCTTGCAGTGATAGAGCCCTGTTGCCATGACACAGTCTGCCCACAGCCCTTTGGATCCCAGTTCGTCCATTTTCCTGCAGGTGGTAATGGTGTAACCACAAGTCACTACCCAGTCGTTGGTGGCGGTGGCCACGATCAGGCCGATCCAGCCGACAAAGCTACAGGCAAATCCAGATAGGTGCAAGCAAGTAGCCACCATGTCAGCCCCTTCTTCTGGCAAGCCAGGCAACTGGAAAGACAAGCACAAAAACACAGAGTGAAGGAGCTGGCCGGGCTGTGCAAGCTAGAGCAGCCCCAGCGCTGGGACCTGCCCCGAGCAGAGAGGACTGGAGTGTGCTGGAAGCAGCTGCGACAGCTGTGGGCACAGGGCTCCGGGAGGGGCCGGACCCGGTCCCAGCCCCACTAAGGGAGGTGGGAGGAGCGACACGGGGCGCCCCAACTTGTCCCAAAACGGGGCTGGGAGTCCCGCGGCCAATGGGAGCGCAGGCGGGGCGGGGGCCGAGCTGCGGGCTGCCTCCCTGCGAAGGCACGGGACGGAGCCGGGGGCGGAGTGGTCACCAAGCACGTGGCGCAGCCTGGGCCGGGCCCCCGCGGGGCTGGG